CAAGGTGGCGCGCGCATGTGGCGCGCATGCACTAATTTGATGCAGATCCGCGCACAAGGCGGATGCTGAATCAACGAGGATGCACCGCGTGGTGGGATCAGGAAGTGCGAGCGGGCATACAATCGGCAAGCTGATTGATGGAATTTGTATGTATTTTTGGTCATCTCACGCTGAAATGCTCGCACAACAAATGTGCTTGGTAGGATTGCGATATCTGCGCGAAGTTTTTTTTGTTTTTGCTGTTGGTTTGTTTGTGCTTTGTTTTCGTCGTTGTTGTTGTTTTTCATTTTTTCTTCTTCTCTCTCTTTTTTGTTCTCTCTGTCTCCCTCTCTCTCTCTCTTATATATATAAATATGTGGGAACTATTTCGTATTTGCGCATGACATTATTTGACAAAGATGGCGGCGGGGCCCGGTGCCGGCTGGGCCGGGATGGTATTATTCCAGATGGCAAATAAACGGTGAGGTTGAACCATGTGTCATTTACGGAGGGCCAAAAACCCTGGGGGGAGGGCGGTCGAGTGTATCCTTATGTTGAAAGGAAAATAGCTGTAATGCAAGTTGCATGGTGCAAACTATGTGGTGCATTTGATTTTAACAAACGAGTTGACACATCCCGCGCTCTTGCAAACATCCCACCCACCCACCCGCAACTTGGTTTGCAAAACCCACGACGACGATGACGGCGCCGACGACGACGACAACGACGACACCGACGACGACGACGTCAACGACGCCGACGACGACGACGACGACGACGGCGGCGACGACGACGACGCCGACGTCGGCGACGACGAAGACGACGCCGACGCCGACGACGACGACGAAGACGACGACGACGTCGCCAACGAAAACGACGACGAGGGAGGAGGGAGGACGACGACGACGCGAACGACGAAGAAGGAGGAAGGACAGCGACGCCGACGATGACAACGACGAGGGAGGAGGGAAGACGACGACGACAACGACGACGACGACGACGACGGCGACGAAATAGGAGGGACGACGACGAGACGCCGACGACGGACGACGACGACGACGAGGGAGGAGGAGGAAGGACGACCACGGCGACAACGACGACGGAAACGACCACGACGCCAAAGAGGACGACGACGACGAACACGAGGAAAGACAGAGGACGACGTAGGCGACGACGACGACGACGCGGGAGGAGGGAGGACGGCGACGACGACGACGACGACGACGCAAGAGCGCGCGCGCACGCTTTTGTTGAAAATCCGTGTTGCGAAACCTTGTGGTTTTGTAGGTTTTTTGGACGCACGATTTTAAAATCCTTCCGGAACCGATAGGTTTTGAAGGTTCTCGCGACGGTACACGCGCAAGGGCGTTCGACAGATTTCGACATGCGCGCGCGAAGCCCGTTTAATAGCATTTTGGTGAAAATCTTGAAAAACCTATAATTTCCTTAAGATTTCGCAAGAGCTCGCGCGGAAGCTTTTTTAGCAAATCAGTGTTGCGAAACCCTGTGTTTTTGTATGTTTTTTTTGGAAACTCGATTGCGAATTCCTTCTGGCACCGAAAGTTTTTCAAGGATTTCGACATGCGCGCGCGACGACGCGCGCGTGTGCACTTCGTCCCTTTTTTTTTGCAAGGGATTCGTGAACAAGTGTTATATTAGAACCAAAAATGTCACCGCAAAGTGTTTTTTACAAGGGAACCGCAGGGGGGGGGATACCGGCTGGCCTGGGACATTGCGATTTCATATTGAGGATGGACATGTGGTCTTAATCATATGTGATTTACATACCCGAACAAAAGGGGACCGATAACGCCGGGGGGGGATAGATCCCATTCTGTTTTTAAAAAGGAAAATCAATTTGGCGCGACCTATGCGTTGCAAGCTATGTCGTGTATTTTGTGTGTGTGTGTGTCTTGCTAGCTGCTTCCTCTGTGATTCAAGTTTTGCAATGCAATCAATGCGGTATGGCATGTATGCCGTGCGAACTACGTGGTGCGAAGTATATGGTTCGCATAGCGCATGGAGCGCCCACGAGCGGACACGGGCGGGCACCAAACGAACCCCCTGCGGACCCACCCAGCGCACGTGGCGCCCACCTGGCGCTTACGACCGGCCACCAACTGGGCGCCAAGCGAAACCCAAATGGATCCACTCAGCGCACGGGCCGGGTGGCCCACGAAGCGCCCGCGACCGGCCGCCAACCGGGCACCACGCGGACCCATCCAGCGCACGTGGCGCCCACGAAGCGCCCACGTACCAGGCACCAGACGAAATCGCGGCGGACCCACGCCGCGACCAAGGTGCCTACGAAGCGCCTGCGACCAAGCACCAACCAGGCACAAGGCGAAACCCCGGCGGACCCATAAACAGTAGATTACTGCACTGTGGATGTGCAAGCTATGCGGTGCCAGCTGCAACATGTAGGGGAATGTGGTGCAACCTACGCAATGCAAGCTATGTGGTGCAATCTGTGTGATGCAAACTGCGCTGGGCGGCCACGGGAGGCCGCGGGGCGGCCACCGAACAAATCCTCGTTTTGCCCGCGCATCTCACAAGCAAAACAACGAAGAGCCCCTGGGTGCAAATACTGTTTTGGGAAAGTGGCAGTAAGAGATGAGGCAGGGGGGGTGCAAATTGCAGTGCCCCAGGAGGGGCCGACAGTCCCGAGGAGGAGGAGGATGGCGGTATAATCCATTTTGCCGTTGAAGCGATAAGATGTGTGCTGCAAGCCGCATGGTGCAAACTATTTGGTGCGTTCAATTTTGGCCAATTCATGAACTGCTAACCTCACTGCTCGCGTGACACCGTACCGCCCGAAACTCTTTTGCAAAACCCTTGCGGGAACGATTGCGATGATTGCTTGGCCCTGGCTGGCGCATCTCTGTGGCCGCGTTGTCGCGCGCAAGCTTGCGCGCAGAGCGACCTGCTGGTTTGTCACACCCGATGCTGCTGCGGTGACGCGACCGATGGCAACTTCCCAGCGCTGGCAGCGCTAGCACGAAGGCACTTCAATGCGGTCGGTGACCCGGGCGGGCGCGTTACCATGATGACGTCGACAACGGCGGCAACGATGATGGTAGTAGCGATGATGGTGGTGATGATGACGATGACGACGGCGAGGCAAATGTCGGCGCCGACGCTGGTGACGACGATGACGATGATGATGTCCATGTGTCGGTGATGAAGGTGATTGAATGATGATGGCGGCAATGGCGGCGCTTGTCGACGAAGGCGACGTGACGCGAAGGCGCTGACGAGAGCGATGGGGAGGAAGTGCGCGCGCGCAGAAAAACAAGAAACCTAACGAACGCTTCGTTGAGCAACCGGATTTTTGTTCCATGCGTTCTGCAGAGCTTTACCTTTACATGTTTCGAGAGACGATGGTTCCGGAAGGATTTCGACGCGCCTGCGTGGCGGCGTGCACGTGTGGCCCGCATGGTCTTTTTTGGTGGGGATTCGTGCGCTGGGCGCAGGCTGGGTCAACGCGGATGCAAATGCGAACGGGCAGAGCATCGGACATATTTGGCATGAGCAACCCGAGATATTTTGATATTCTAATGCCGGGGTGCCGGCATTACTGATTTCGACGAATGCGCGCACACGTGTGGTCTCTGTGATATTCGTTGCAAGGAGTTCTTGACAACTTATCTCTTGACATAAACAAGTGTGCGCCCATAGTATTACATGTCTGAAAAAGGGGTAAAAGGGGGGGGCGATACCCAGCATGGCTGGGATGGTGTGACTTCATACTATGAGGTAGACTCGCGTAATTTGCAGTGTCCCGGGGAGGGGGTCGATTAGTCTGGGGGGCGAGAGGCAGTAGAGTCTTTTCTTCTTTTGAAGAGAGAATCAATGTGGGAATATTTGTGAGCAATATTATGCACCATATGTGGTGCTAGCTATGAGTTGCGAGCTGTGCGGTGCAAGCTACGTGATGCTACGTGATGCAATCGATGTGGTGCAACCTATGTGGTGCGAGCCACGGTGCACGAGCTACGTGGTGCACCCAAAGCACGAGCCACCCAAGAGGCGCCCACAACTGGACACGTGCGGGCACCAGGCGAAACCCCCGTGGACCCACCCAGCGCACGTGGCACACTTTTTGGTCGGCGGGTCGAGAGCGGGCCTCTTCCGGTTACGAGCTCGGCGGGGCGCGCAAGGCACTATTTGGGGAGGCAGAGCGCGGGATACCCACGTGGCACACACACACGAGGCGCCCACGACCGGCCACCAACGGGGCACCAGGCGGACACACCCAGCGCAAGTGGCGCCTACGAGGCGCTCACGACCCGCCTAGCCTACCAGGCACCACTCGACACCCCCTCGGTCCCATTCCGCGAACGGGGCGCCCTCGAGGCGCCCAGGAGCGGCTACCGATCGGGCACCAGGCGAAACTGCAGCGGACCTATCCAATCACTTCAGTGAGATCCTCTGCGTGCGTGCAAGCGCTGTTTGGCGGAATAAGTCAGAACCCCAAGTGCAAGCACTGCTCTGGGAACCTGCGGCGGCAGAGGTAGGATCGCATGCCAGCTTGTCGCCCCGCTCGTCCCTACTTGGGCGTGGTGGGTACGCTCTCTAAGAGGCTCCAGTAAGCGGGGGGTCATGGAAAAAAGAAAAAGAAAGAAGGAGTAGAGGAGGAGGAGGAGGAGGAGGAGGAGGAGGAGGAGGAGGAGGAGGAAGAGGAGCAGGAGGGAGACGACCAGGAGGAGGGAGGTGACGATAATGATAAGGATGAGAGAGGAGGAAGAGCCAATCACCCTGCTCACCAGAGCCTCTGATACGGCATACAATCGAAACAAGTTCTCGAGACTGTGGATCAAGAACATGGGCCCCCTCGCCGAGAGCCCGAGGCCACATGTAGATATCCCAAACGAAGAGCATTCCAAGGTGGATAGCCCAAACACGAAAAACATAAGGGTACCCCTCCAGAGCTAGGGTTGTTGTTAACCCCCGTGCCGACCGTAGTGAAAGTGGGACCATCCTTGAATGATCTTGTGTAGTATACTCCCCCCCTTGCGCGCCCCCTTTGGCCGCAGCTTGCGCTGCGTCTGCCGCTGCACGTACAGCAGCAGCGGCAAGTGCGCCTTGCGCGCGCCGCCGGATCGGAGCCACTGCCAAGCATGGTCCTCGACCCTGGCGGACTGAGGATGGAGATTGTTTGAAGGATGTTGATGGATGTTGCAAAATTCTTCACTGTTCCCAACCATCCTGTGCTGTTGGGTCCTCGTTGTGAATTTGCAGCTCCCCGTGTTCTCTTGTCCTCCCCCTCCTCCCATCCCTGCCTCTGCCCTCCACATGTCCGTGTCGGCACACCCACCATACGCTTCGTGGCTCCATAGGTAGCTCCAGGCCCCAGGGGCATCGACCACATGTTGGCGTCACACCCGTTTCGGCACACCCCTCACACGCTTCGCGGCCCCAGATGTGGGTCCACCTACGGCCCCAATGGCACCGTCCACATGGTAGCGTCACACCCGCTTCGGCACCCGCCTCACATTTTTCGGGGCCCCATAGGGTGCTCCACCAAAGGATCCAATGGCAACGTCCACATGGTGGCGTCACACCAACTTGGGCATGCTCCTCAAACGTTTCGTGCAGAGGGAGCTCCACCCATTTCGGCACACCCCTTACGAGGATCGTGGCCGCAGAGGGAGCTCCTCCGAAGGCCCCAGTGGGGCAAGGTCCGCACGTGTCCCCCGACCCATGTCGGCACACCCCTCGCAGGGATCGTGGCCGCAAAGGAAGCTCCACCGAAGGCCGCAGTTGCAGGGTTCGCAGGCGTCTCCCCGTTCATTTCGGCACACCCCTCATGAGGAGCGTGGCCCCATAGGAAGCTCCACCGAAAGCCTCAGCGGCAGAATTCGCATGACATGCCGCCGCCCATTTCGACACACCCCTCACGAGGATCGTGGCCCCAAGGGGAGCTCCACCGCCGGCCGCAGTGGCAGGGTCCGCATGCGTCCCCCGCCCATTTCGGCACGCCCCTCATAATGATCGTGGTCCCAGAAAGAGCTCCACCGAAGGTCCCAACGGCAGGGTTTGCACGGCGCCGCCTTCGCCAGGGTATGCGCTCCAATCCTTTCTTTAGTTCGTCCCCATCCTTCTTCTCGCTTTCCTCACGGCACTCGCAGCTGCACGTGGTTGGGCCCTTCGCCGAGCCTGTTTTTGCTTCTGGAGGCCTCCAATCGTCCCTGGGAGCCTCCAAGGACCTCTGGGGACGTCCAGGGGCCAGGATCCAGGACGTCCCAGGAGATGAATCCAATGGCCCATCTGGCGATAGCTCCCCTGACCGTCACACCTGAGCCTGCAAACACACATACGCACAAACGGCTGGATTCACACGCGAGTCATGTGGAGGTCACGCGGTGGAGACGCATGCGGAGGGCTGGCAAACCTGGCCAGACGAGGGCCGAGCGCTAGAAAGACATGCGGCCCTGTGTATCCAGTTATCGCCCAGCACAGGCGCGGTAATACATGTCCAGCTTGCTGGTATTTTTCAGGGCTGAGAAAACACTACCCCAAGGAGAACGACAGCCCGAGGCTTTGGAATCATCCTCTATAGAAGAAGTCCACGGTCGCGCATGGGGCCAAGACGACGAAGCCCTCTCAATACAAACGCATTGCTTTAGGCACCCATGGCCTTCGAAAAGACCAACGCACTCGTTCAACAACCGTCGGGATGGTTGCTTGCATGAGCGTGCAAAAAACACTGTGACCGCCGTGTGCTCCTCCTCTTCCTCCTCCTTCTCCTCCGTCCTCCTGGCTTGCACCGTTAAGACGCTCAACTTGAGTGAAAGACCGCGGCGCAGAACCCGTCGGAAATCGCGCTCCTCCGTGCAAAAGCGAAGTGGTTGCGATGTCCTGGCGCTCCGATCTTAAGCTGGGTCACCTGGCTTCGCGCTCCGCGCTGCGCTGGGTGCGGTCCTGGCCCCCGCGCCGCCCGGTGATGCAGAACGGCTCCCTGGCCAGTCCAGAACGCAAAGCGCGAAGCTCGATCTATCTTCGAACCCCTGCGGGTGATCGGAAGGGCAGGAGAGCCCAGAATCGAATCGATAAGTCGAACCGGCGATCGAAATTAATCGAATCGGCGGAAATCGGCAGCCAAGTCGGGAGGAGTCGAATCGGCTAAACTCGGCAAAGGGGTAAGGCCTCATCGAGACATCGGAGCCCAAATCGCAGTCTGAAGCCGAATCGAATCGAAATCGGAATCCGTCGAAATCGAATCGAGTTGGAGGAATCGAAACGAGCCCTGGAAGGGCGTATGCCTCGGCCCGACTTTCTCGCGGCTCGGGCAGGCTCTGCGGAACCACCCGGTGCCCTTGTTCGCCAGGCGGCCCGAGCGCGAAGCTCGTTCGAACTTCGCACCCCTGCGGGCGATGTACGATGGGAGCTCGGCCGCAAGAAACCTTCCACAAAAAACCCAACCCTGAGACCCCAGGACGTCCATTGATTTTGGGTGTGGGAACTCCATCGCAACACCGCCGGAATCCAAGCAACCAGGGCACCCTGGAGGCAAGCAGGGTGCTTCTTGGCATGGGCCCCCACTGCAGGAGCTCGGCCACAAGAAACCTTCCACAAGGAACCCAACCCTGAGACCCCAGGACGTCCGCTGATTTTGGGTGTGGGAACGTCCCTCCCGGTGCCTGGGGCTAGACGGAGGCCGCCAGATGCTGGCTGTGATGCGTGCGGGGGCAGTCAGCTGGGGAGCAACACCTGGTGGGGCCACGAGCCCCGACCTCGGAGCCTAGGTTTCGGTCGGGCCTGCTCCCCTACAGGGGGATTTTGGGCGAAAAATTGAAGATATTCAAAAAATACCCCCAACTGGTCAAAAAATACTCAGAAAACAATCCCCAAACTTTTTTTGTTAAGCAATTTTTTTTAAATGTATAATTTTCGAATACTCCTCCTGTAGAGGGACAATCCCGACTTAAGCCTAGGTGGGCAGGGCCTGCGAAGAAGAGAGAGGTCCGGGGGTGGACGGACGCAGGGCGCCCCGGGTTGGCTCCCGCACCGTCCTCGTCTCTCGTCCGGCCTCGTCGAGGCCCTCTCTTTTGAAATCGGCAGGCGAGAAGGAGACCGCACAAGCTGCGTCGGGCGCTGCCGACCAAGGAACGGCTGGTCACGGCTAAGGAATCTGCTCCGCGTGAGTCTACAGATCAGGCGCGCCACGTGCATGTCAGGGTGTACTGCTTGTGCACGTGCTTCTTGCATGGTGTGTGCAATTTGCTGATTCCTGTGTGTGTGTGTTATCCGTGCTCGCTCGTGATCTTGGTAGCTACTCTTGTGCATTCGTGTGTGTGTGTGTGTGCGTGTGTGTGTGTGTGTGTGTGTGTGTTAGCTCCTGACCGGAAGGTGCCCGCTCCCGACCCGCAGACCAACACAAGTGTGCATGTGTGTATGTTGTTGTATTTGATGTCTGCGTGCCTGGTTTATGTAATATCGCTATGCCGACGATGTCTTTTATGTGTGTATGCGTCTTGTGTATGCCGTTTTCTTCTTGGCTTTGATACGTGTTTCTGATGTCTATAATCAATGCAGATTCCTGGTGTCTGGTGCTCATCGATGGTCTTGATGTCTGACCTGCAATTGTGTAGCGACTGGTATTCGTCCTGGATGCCAATTAGATGTATATGGGATGTGTGGATGTGCGCTTTTGGTGATCTCTCTCGGAGAACTACTGATGTCGGTTGTGTAGGTCTGTTATTGCTGTACTTTCTTGATGCCTGGTCCTGGTAGATGCGTTTGGTGTGTTACGGTGCCCGCTCCAGATTCGTAGTATCGTTTGCTCTTAGCTGCATGTCTATGGTTGCCATGCGATGTTGCTGCATGCTACGGGTGTCTGATATTAGCGTACCTTATGGAATTGTTCTCTGATGCCTGTTATCAATGTCAGGTCGGATTGCGTTTCCAGGATACATGCCTTGACGAGTGCCGCTCGTGCATGCTAGTCCTTGCTATGTGTTCTTGACGCGTGCGTGTGCGTTTGTGTGTCTGTGTGTGTGTGTGCGTGTGTGTGTGTGTGTGTGTGTGTGTGTGTGTGTGTGTGCTTGATGCTAGTTCTCGGTTCATGCTCGTGACGCATGTTCTTGCGTATGTGCTCGATGCATGTGTTTGACGAGTGTAGTTGATGCCTGGTCTTGTGTCTGTTACCGCTGCCTGTTCTTGATGTCTGTTGTGGGTGTCTGTTCAAGGTGTCCGTTCTGGGTGTCTCTTCTTGATGTCTGTGGACGGGGTGTTGTTGTGAGGCCTGTAATGTCTGATTAGTCTTGGGATGCTGCCGTCGCTCCGATGTTAGGGGCCCAGCGAGGCGGGATACTCAGGGATACTCGGGATCGATGTGGCCTGGCGGCCGCGGTGTACGGTATGCACTGGCGGCGCGCACAGGGGAGCAGAGGGAGGGGGGGAGCTTCTTAGAAGGCGGCTGCCTCTTAGAAGGCGCTGGCCACTCCTCTAAGAAGCCAGCGGCGCGCCGCTTCTTAGAAGAACCCCAGCAGCTTCTTAGAAGCAGGCAACCTGCTTCTTAGAAACACGCCAGGAGCAGCTTCTAAGAAGCAGCCGCAAGCTTCTGAGAAGGGGCGCCCGCGCCTTCTACGAAGGGAGGGTGCTTCTGAGAAGCCTTCCTGGCTCCTCCTTCCCCTCCTCCTCCTCCTCCTCCTCGTCCTCCTCCTCCTCCTCCTCCTCCTCCTCCTCCTCCTCCTCCTCCTCCTCCTCCCCGTCCTCCTCCTCTCCTCCTTTCTCCCCTCCTCTCCCCCTCTTTCCCCCTCCTCTCTCCCTCCTCCTCCTCCTCCTCCTCCTCCTCCTCTCCCTCCTCCTCCTCCTCCTCCCCCTGCCCCCCCCCCCCCTCTGCGCGTGGCTGAACGCACGCTGGCGGGCGAGGCGAGACACTCGGGATCGCCGGGGCCTGGCGGCCGCAGCGTGCGCGCGGGGCGGGCGGGGCGGGGGACTCTGGACACTCGGGGCTACTGTTAGGTCGGGCACGTCTCCCGACAGGCCGAATTTGGACAACAAATTAAAAATACTCGGAATTAAAAATACTCGAAACATATGCTAAGCTAAGCTAAGATGAAATAAGCTAAGCTAAGATGAGATAAGCAACGCTAAGCTAAGGGGACGTAACTGGGGGAACCGCGGGGCGGATTCCGGGGAAACCGCCAGGGCCGGTTCCCACTGCCCGGCCCTTTAAGCCAAGAGAGTAGGAACCCTTCTAGGCAGAGCCTAGGTAGGGAATAACAACTACTCGAAAAATATGCAAACATATGCAAATATATGAAAAAGTCGCCCCCAGGCTATTTTTTGACTATCTTTGAATGTTCCTCCTGTAGAGGGACACGCCCGACTTAAGGCTACTGGGGCCTGGCGGTTTGCAGGCTTTGCGGGCCAGTGGTGTTCTCTCATCCACTGCACAGCCAACACGCCTCATAAGAACGGGCAGCCTTCCCAAGGGTACCCTTGCATCCATGCCCTTTCGGCCCATCCTTGGCGACTTCCGCTGGCCAGCCTCGTTCGAAACGCGTCCACATGGGCCTCCGAGGCCCTTGCACACTTGCCGCGCATCCTTACGATACGGGTTGGCTGCAGCACACCCCCGCCTGTCCGGTGGGGAGCCGCCACTCGGACGTCCGCCGAACTTCTTGGCCGGTACTGGCCGGGAGGAGGAATGGGAGGAGGAGGATGATGAGGAGGAGGAGGAGGAGGAGGATGAGGAGGAGGAGGAGGATGAGGAGGAAGAGGAGGAAGAGGAGGAGGAGGAGGGAGGAGGAGGAGGAGGAGGAGGAGGAGGAGGAGGAACGCCCCATTCCTCGGCGCGGGGAGCGCGCCAGGGGCGTCGCCGGAGGCGCCGCCAGGGCGGAGGCGGGTACGGGGGTCCAACGCCGACCCGAGAACTCCGTGCCGACTTCGGATGATGTGCTTCTGTTGTGGTCTTCGTGCGTCGGGCCATATGCCAGCGCAGAGGGAGGAGAGCGCAGAACCGAATCGACAAGTCGGACTGGCGAGCGAAATCCATCGGATCGGCGGAAATCGGAAGCCAAGTCGGGAAAAGTCGACTCGGCGGAAATCGGCGGGCCAATAAGGCCTCCATTCAGGCACCAGAATCCAAATCGGAACCCAAAGTCGAATCCGTTCGAGATCGGAATCGATCGAAATCTAATCGAGTCGGAGGAGTTGACATGAGCCCTGAGATGTGAAGGAGGGGGGCGTGGGCATTCCACATCGAGGCTCCCTGCGTGGCTGGATCGACCCAGCCGCACCGGGCCTGCTTTCAATCGAGCGCAGCTCGGTCTAGCTCCTGAGCCGGCTGCAGCGCGATATGATCACACGGCGGGGGCATTCGACAAGGAATTCTCGGATCAGGAACCCAGGGGCTGGAAGCCAGTGGAACTCCAATCGTAGATTGGCTACGGATATCACCGCCGCTCTCGTGAGATAAGGATTCCCCCAAGGGTCTGGAGCCTCCTTGGCACATTCCTTGACCAGCGCCCCCACCGGAGGGATGCGCGGTAAGGATCCAAGGACATTGGACGCCCAATGTGCATTGAGCAGAGATGGCCAGCGGCGGAGGCTGAGGACGGCCGAAGACGCAAGGATGAAAGGGTGCCCTTTGAAAGCACGAACTGTACTGCTCCTCCTCTTCCTCCTCCTCCTCCTCCTCCTCCTCCTCCTCCTCCTCCTCCCCCTCCTCCCCTATGATCCATTTGAACTGTACTCGGCACGAACTCCCCAGACTTCCGTCGTCAGAACTTTTGAACGTGGCCCCACAAGCTCCCGACCCCTTCTCTGGACAAGCCTTGTGATGTTCCAACCTACTTTTAGCCCTGCTCATTGTAGAAGATCTCGAGCACCACACGAGCACGGAACCTGGGGGTCTTCCCGTGTCGGGCCCCGGGAGGCGCTACTCCTTCGACACCGTCTCGACCCTCTTCTGGGTGGTCGAGATGATGTTCTGGGGTGTGGTCCTCGAGTACGATGGGCACAGCATATCTGGACGCCCGAAGTGGGTACGGAAAGAATGGGTACACTGCCCAACAACAAATGTTGTCCCAAACCAACAGCCGCCGCTGTTGGGCAGGCGGCCTTCTGTCTCGAACGGGCACGGGCCGCGGCGGCGCGGACAGCGAGTCCTGTGCAAAATGAACAGGATCCGCTGTTGGGCATTGTGCCCCTTCTTTCCGTGCCCATTTCGTTCGTGCAGAGCATACAGTCGGGGCGTTGACCTAAGGAACCCTAAAGAAGGAGCGAGGCCCCCTTTTCCATCAGTTAAACTCCGATTCCCCATCGAAGCCATAAGGAACACCGGAGGCAGACTGTGAAAAACTTGAGGAACACGGAGCCCCGCCCCAACGAAACGGGTTCCTTCTTCAGCAACCCGACCGTAAGGCGAGCGTCTCGCCCCGGGCTTTTCTCTTTTACGGCCCCGGGGGCCGCGGAGCGGCTCGCGGACGCCCCAACGGCGACGCGGGCCGCGGGAAAGGTCTGGGCGGCGCGCCCCGCCCCGGCGGCCCACGGCGAGAGCCGCCGCGCACTGCCACTCTGAAGTCGGGCCTGCCCCCCTGCAGGAGGATCGTCGACGAGAAATAAAAAATCCTCCAAAATAGTCCCAAAATACTCCGAAAATAGCCTGGGCATTTTTTAAATAATAATAATAATAATAATAATTATTATTCTTATTATTATTATTATTAGTATTATATATGTATATGTGTATATATATATATACATATATATATATATATATATATATATATATATATAGATAGATATTTTTCGTCGAAAATCCCCCTGTAGGGGGACACGCCCGACATAATGCCACTCGGGGGCCCCGCGCCTTCGGAAACGCAGCGGCCACCTCGTCCTCGGGCAGCACCTTCGCGAGGCGCTCCACGATCTTCCGCACCGTCATCTTGGCAGTGGCCGTGTGGCGGCTCTCGAAGAGCACCTGCCGCCGACCGCTCACTCTCGAGGAAAAAGAACTATGCACATACACCGATTCTGGCCAGGCCCATCCTGAGCCCAGGATCGGTGCATACGCCCTCCTACCTTGGCCAGGAAGGCATATGCACCGATCATAGGTCAAGGATGGGCCTTGCCAAGATCGGTGCATGTGCATAATTCTCCTCGCCCGACACTCTCCTCATGCCGATCTGCGTTGGCGATGTCGGAGCCATGGGCTTACGACGCACACGCGAATCGATTTTGGGATGGAGGCAAGATGAGGGTAGCTTCGGATGGCGATGCAGCAGAACTCTGTGAGGGCCGACGTGTCTGAATGACGCATCGGGGGCCGCGTCCGATCCAGAACGCTCTGCAACGCTCCGAGAGCGTTCTGGAACGTCCGGGAGCGACTCGTCCTCATCCTGGGCCCGCCTGACAATTGCCGATGCCAGCGGCGCTGGCCTCACGACGCTCGCGCGGATCTATGCTAAACCGCACGCGCGCTGTCTGGCCTGGGGCGAGCTGGCGCCGCCGCGCTCATCAGTGAGGGCGTGGGGGGGATGGCAGTGGGATCCCCGCGGCGTCGGGGGCCCCCGAAACTCCGACGTCGTGGCTTCGAGGAGGAGGAGGAGGAGGAGGAGGAGGAGGAGAGGAGGGAGGGAGGGAGGAGGAGGAGGAGGAGGAGAGGAGGAGGAGGAGGAGGAGGAGGAGGAGGAGGCGGAGGAGGAGGAGGAGGAGGAGGAGGAGGAGGAGGACCCCTGGAGGAGTCTGGACCCTTCTCCTTTGGGCCGCTTTTTCGCCCCGAGCCACTGGCCATCGCTCGGACGTCCATTCCGTGTTTTTTTTGCGGTTTCGTGCGTGGTCTTTTCGCCGGATGATCAAGGATGCTCCTCGATGGCCCTCGCCGAGAAAACATGCACATGTCCGAGCGATGCCAGGCCCAAGCTTGGCGAGGGCCCCCAGATGCCGAAACTGGCCACGACCTTCCGTCGTGCCCAGCAACATGCTTCCCACTAGTAAGTAAATATCCGCGCCTGCGGGGCTGTGGGTTATCGACATGGCCTTGATTATCCATATTGGTCTGCTCAGTGAGGGGGCGAGCGGTCTTACAACATCCCTGGTGTTTATACCCCAGGGCCGTCACCCACAACAAATGAAGAGGGAGAAAATCGTTAGTGTTGTTCCGTCACCCTGGCCTTTTTGTATAATTTCTAAACTGGGGTGGCTCCGGGGCAATCATCGTGGAATGGTTCAAGCGGGCGTGATTGAACAAACTCCTGCTCAACTCCCGTACCACCTACCATTCATGTTTTCCTCCGCCTCATTCCCCTCCCTTCCTCCCCCTTGTACATCCCCCCTCATCCCCGCTACCTCGCCATCTCATCCCCCCCCCGTCCGTCCTGCTTTCGATCTTCTCCACCTCTCCTCCTCTTTTCCTACTGCCGGTGCGTCGCCGCAGCCGCCGGGCCTCGTGGGCCCGCTCCGGCAAATTGGAGCCCAGCAGCCCAAGCTCCCCCCACCCGGAAACATAGGATGCTTTTCCAAACAACAGCACCTTCCGAGCGAAACCGTGAAACTTAACAGCGAACCTGTCCTGAGTGCAGACCAGGGCCCCCTTACCAAGGAGCGTTAGAAGGGCGCGGGTAAAAAGAAAGAGTGCGGGGGGAATTTGTTTCGCAAAGCAGCTAAATCTCCAGAGTGGCCGTGGGGCTCCTGGGTAAAAGCAATCGAGCGCCTCCTTCTGTGCCCGCTGAAGAAAAAACCTCTCACCTGGTACGCTACAGGCTTTGCTTCTCATGCTGGATGCAGTGGCGAACGGACCTTCAGCATCTCAAGTGACAACGGATAACAATTTCTTCGGAACGAGCGGGGGGAACATCGACGCCCCCAGCTCCACCAATCCGGATTGCGCCTCGTCGAAACGGCCTGCGCACACACACAGAACAGGGGCGAGGTCCTGTGTGAACTACCCAGTAAAAGAATTAGCAAGCAAACTGACGTCAATACGCAACCCTGCTAACGCCGGGTCCATAATCTTGCGCTGCGTGTCCCAGGGGCCCAGGGCATCAAAGTGGTTTCAACAAGCAATGGCACGATGATCTTCGGCCACCCTATTCGGCTTCCGCACGCGGTAGAGCTGGGATGCATTACCACTCTTCTCGTTCCGAACGAAAACAACACCGCCGTAAC